TGCGTCAGGGTGTACTAAGGATATCATTATTGTAAGCAAGGGTTTAACTGAGCAGAGTAATGTTGCTAAGGTGTTTTGTACCAATTTGAGAGCATATATTTTGCGGTTATTATACAACAGCATGTTTTTTATTTCAAGTTCCTTTGGACGCACACACCCAATAATAATGAAACCACGAGTAACATGCTTGCCATCTCGCCAATTGCCCAGCGTTTCGCACTCCGAGTGAGTATAAGGCGGATCATTGTCCTGGTTTGCGAGGCTGCCCGGTTGAGTTAAAGAACACTAACTATTATTGCTCTCTGCTGGCCATCTGCCACAGGTGGGTTGGCTCCGCTTCGCAGTTACGCTGAAAACGAACTAATGTCCTGCATACTGGAAAGTTGCAAGATAAGTTGCAAGACATCTCCGAGCCGCCAGTAACAGTGCCTCACTAATCTGGATATCTTGTCGTCCCACTTGGTCCTTTGGCTGCCTCCCACGTTGCTGGAGCCAAAGTGTGACGACTGACGAGCAAAGCATAAAGGGGGAAAAAGAAACCTTCTTGATGAAAACCAGCGAGGAACAGAGTTCGCTCGTTGAATAATAAGCTTGCCCCATGAACACTCAATGAATGCACGCAGTCTGTTAGTCGCATCCACGTCCGCCATCCTCGTCCTGTCTGATGAGGTAATTGAGGTCGAGGAACGTCATTTTGCTTTCTCTTTCACTTTCTTTCGCTGTGGCCCCAGATGCGACTCGCAACACTAGGTGAGATTACCTCGGTCCAACGAAGTGCGAAATGCGGGAGTATCTCTTTGCGGATGGCCTGTTCTGTCTCCTATACCCAGTCCCCGTCCACGCCTCCGGCCAACTGATTATGAGATCCCTTCTCCCCATTCAACCTCATTATTGCTTTCCCTTATTACTGTGCTCAAATCAATCGATTTATTCTCTTTAACCTCTCCAACGGCTGTTCTGTTCCCCTGGGCTCCCTCACTCTTCAACATCATTACGCCATCTTCCCTCCCTTCCACAATAATTCCTAAGGATTCCTTCTCGAGAAACCCAATCCAGTGGCAAAACCATTAACAATAAAGATAAAAGGAAATATTTTGCCATATTCTCCACGTTTAACTTAGAAGATAAAAGAAAATAGATTATCGGATCAAGGGTAGTGGTGGCGGGCGACATTGCTCGATTATTGGATTACTGGTGACTTATATGTCGCCCAACCCTTCTCTCTCGGCATCGGAAGAGGGAACAGGAGCACGGCAGACGGGCGGAACCGTTATTGCGAGCATGAAGGAAATATCTGTATACATATTGAACAGTGAACATTGTTTCCTCGTTCGTGTCTGAATGGGAGCCCAGCGTGTTTCGGTGCTTGGAGAAATAAATCCCTGGACATATCCCCGCAGCGAGCCCTGGAAGCACGCAAGAAGGGTTCGCTCCAGCGTTGAAGACCTTGATTGCGGCAGCTGTCGAGCTTCTTGCGCATGATTGCACTATTTTCCATTTGCCATTTGTCATTTGTCATTTTATATTTTGATGTAACTTCTTTTTTTTTTCCCGCCGTTGACTCCTGCATTCCCCCCAGTCATATCTACATACTTTTACGATTACACTTTCTCAACAGTTGATTTAGCTGCTGAAATTGCATACAGGGGTTGAATATTCTTTTATTGTTTTACCCTGGCAGCATCGCTTCTACTTCTATTCACGCTTGATCTTTACATCCTGGGCTACTTTACTGCTTGATTTCTTGGTGGTCGTTGCGTCGTTGATATCTTCTGCCTGTTATTCGCCTGGGACGTTTATATTTGTTTAGCCCTGTGAGAGAGCAATTCGATACCACAAGAAGATCGCTTTGTTTCAAAAATCCTCGGAAATCTGTTTGGACCCTATTGCTCTCAGCTCTCAGCCTATCCCGTTTATCATTTCGTTGTATCCAGTTTGGCCATTTTTCGCGGACACACGGGGGCTGCCACGACATCTCGCGCCGACCATCTACCCATTTGTCCTGTCGAATTATTCAACTGCTTGGTGGGCACAATTCCAAGCTGGCCTTCGCTTTTGCCTGGTCTCCACTTTTCCAATTGAACGGGTCCCAATATCTCCCCTTCATTCCAGTTAAAACCCGCTCGCCCTTCCACCCTGTTGGAGTATGTATCCTGTCCGCTTCGAACAACGTACATAGGTCCATTTTCCATTCAATCGGGTCCTCCAGCATTGCCCAAGTGGATCTGTCAAATTAGACTGTATACGTGGCCGCCGCCCGCCATGTCCCAGTCACTGTCTCTCTTCTCTGCTCAGGTACAGTTCTTGGTGAGTCTCGCGCAGCATGTTCACAACCCATAACCTCCTCTAATTCTGCTTTCACCCTTCACCACCTTTCAAAAAGCAGCCCCCGCCCCCCAAATTTTGAACTAGTAAATTCCCCTTCCAGGATCCCAGCGTTCGTTGGAGCACAAGAATGTGCTTTCTGTTTGTGGCATTAGCCTGCGCTATCTTTGGTATTGAATATGCAAGGCCAGCTGTGCTGACATTGGAAATCGGGGTTCAGAACGACCACCTCGCTCTCATACACATCCCCCTAGATCTATACCCATTTTTCCTGCAACCAATACTCCAACTCATTTTCCACGATGTACCTCCTATCGAAGACATACACCCGGATGAACCGGATGAACCGGATGAACCTGGCTTGAGAGGTCTTCGGAAATCCGAACCCACGCATCCTGCGTTTCTCAACGTTTCCATCACCCCAGTCGAATGTTCAATTGTGTGTTCGAGAGAGTTGGCAGAGTTGTATTTTCGCCCATCGGCAGAAGAGTTCAACAAAAATGGACCTTCTAAAGCGAACCAAATTTCAATCAGCAAAGAGGATTTCATCGCGATGCAGGTTGATGGGCAGGGGTTGGATGCCGGCCAAAGAGTTCTGGAACTGACCAGTCCTCTTGCCATGGCGGGAGTGTAAGCTCATATACACTCCGTTGTAAAGTGCGGTACCCCCTTAACTAATAAGTTGAAAAGATCCATATTCTTCATGTCAACTTATTTCTCCGACTACATCCTCGTTCCCCGCCGGTCAAAGGGCCATGTAACCCAGGCACTCGAGAACCGCGGCTTCGCCTTCGAAGCGTCCTCCGATGCCTTCGTCAACAGCAGCAGTAACCCGCAACGCCGCAGCTCCCCCCCATCGTTAGAAACACAACAATCGCCGCCCTTAACCCCTCCCCCTCCAACGCTCTCAGAGCTACAGACCCGAACGTTCTCCGCCTTACGGAAACACAACATACACGCCCGTGTCGACAAATCCCTCCGCATCGTCCAATGCGCCGCCCAATACTCGTCATCTGCCCGCCGATCCTCCTCCCCTTCAATCCTCCGCCCAAGCCTCGTCACCACCCTAATCCTCGATAAACCCCGCTTCCTCTCCCTCACTCTAACAGCCACCGACCCGGCCGCGTCTATACTGCTCGAAAAACGACTCCTGCCCCGCTTCTCGCTGGATCCCATCTGCTTAGTGCCCCCAAACCAGCTGTCCAGCGACTTCTCACTTGACGAGAGCAGCAATAACCTCCTCCTCATATCGAAGGACGACGTCCTCGTCCCTATCATGCTGGACCTGCGCGATCTCCCGCTGGAAGCGACTGGGATCGTCTGTGGCGTAGCTAGCCGGCTCGCGGCTGCGACACAAAGTCGAGAACCTAACAGAACCAGTGGCGAGAGTGACAATGGCCATGATCATGACGGTGGTGGAGATGGTTATGACAGCTCCGATGACCACGGCGATGGTGTTAACGCCGTGGAGATTCCGAGGAATGCCTCCTCCCCTCTTGCCCGGTTCAACAACAATAATCAAAACGATGACAAAAGTACGTCATCACTCTGGTCGCGGAAGCGGAGGCGGATGACGACGTCGATGAATCAGAAGAAAAACGGTGGGCAAGCGCAGGGCGCCCACGAGCCGCTTCGTAGAGCCTCGTCAGAAACGGGCTCGTCGTATCTGGATGCTGTTGATATCAGCTTCCTCAGCACGGTGAGAGCTGGCACTGTCATCGTTGGTGAGAGGGAGCTGGAAAGGGCAATGGCTTCATTGGATGCGGCTGAGATTGGCGTTTGAGTTTGTGATAAGTGTGTGGGGATGGTGTAGTGGGATTTTATCTTATGTGAATGCTAGATTGATCCGAAAGGCGAATGAAAGGATGCCAAAGGTTTTGGCAAAGAGAAATTGTGATATCTTTTTTGGACGAATGGGCTGATGGAAAGGAGTAAACATATGATACGTATATATAAGATTAAAAAAGAAAAAAAAGAAAAAAAAAAAAAAAAGAAAGAAAGCAAAAAAGAATTGTCTAAAGGGGAAAAATGTTAGGTCCTGTTGGAATGTGGACATGAGCGAACCTGGGCGATCAATTGACCTATTTCATATTTTGGAGACAACTGTATTGAGTATATCGGGGCCCATAGCATATCGTCAATGCCTTTACATATTTGATACCTATGTTAATGGACAAAATAGGATTAAAAAAAAACGAGTACGGTTTACTTCACACGCCTCAAGCCCACGCGGTGTGGGCCCCTTCGTTAAGATACGCTTCCTTTCATCTTTGTCATATCTGCACTAATTAAACCAATAAACCAGGTAGAGCGACCACCCCATATATATCATACTTCTTCGTTTAGAAGGGGTAGTCTGATTGATGGAGATGCCTAGTAAATGAGCATATCCGCCCGCAACATAGAGCACAGGACACGGTTATATTTTGTTCTTTTTGGTTTAGCTGTACGTTGGAGGCGGTAAGAGTTTGAACGTTGATTTATATAGATAACTGGATAGCAGATATATGAAACGGGATGCTCTGTTAGGGTCCCGGTCGTGAATGATATAAAAGGGCGGGGGTGGCCTGAGAAGGTGAGGTGATTTATAAAGATCATGATAACGTAACGATATATATAGGTATCGCAATAATGTCTGTGAGTAAAATGCGGGAAGATGCAAAGTAATGCTGAAGTCATCCAAATACTTGAACAGTCCCTATTGTGTTAATATCAAAAGTTAGCAAAGGCGAACGGCATTGAACCGACAATGTCTCTTTGTGAAAGGCGTGAAATTCCCAAGACAGATATATAAGAGGAGATCGGGTTGCGAAAACTCACCATCTGAACAACCGCCAGCCCAACAACCCGCTTTCTCATTCCACGCCACACAGCTAACCGCCTTCACCCCTTCGCCCACGCCCACCTTCGCAATTACATCCCCAGTCAACACATCCCATGCAAATACATGGCTCTCGACATTTATGGCACTCTCATTTTCATCAGTCTCCCCACCACTAAACACCACGCCCTCCCCCTTCGCAAATGAAGATCTAATCCGCAACGAACTATTGACATAGCGTGGCCCTCCATCCCCACTAGCAGGAGTAGCAGGGTCAGCCCCCGCCTTGCCTCCCCCACCCCCAAACCCTTTCAACACACTGCCATCCGCTCGATCAACCATCCGAATCCAGCTATCTAGACACGATGCCAGCACGACATTGCCATCCTCCGAGCAGCGCACGCTCGTCACCTCATGGCCCATGACGTCCACGTTCACCATGCCCATACGCAAATCATAGCTGCGGATTCGTCCGTCGTAGCTGCCTGATATTATGCTGGCGGTGGGCAAGTGGATGCTAAGGGAGGAGATGGTGTCGCGGGCTTCGGAGAGTGTTTGGATGGGCTTTGAGGTTAGGGAACGCGTATCCCAGAGTTTTAGGGTTGTGTCGGCGCTTCCTGTGGCGCGGGAGTTTGAGATGGTTAGCGGAATTGAGCTTTTGAGTTAAGATGTTATACTATAGGGAGTTTCCTAATACAGGGATAGTGGAGGACGAGTTTCTCGGTTCACAATGCAATGCCAGTTGATGCCTGGCTCGGGTATTTAATGTGATAGAGGTGTAAATCGAGCGCAGTTGATTCTGATCAAGTCAGAGTCAATAGTAATGCTTGACCTTGCGTCGCGCAATGGCTGATAGAGATATCAAGCCCCTCACGAACCAGCACTGCGCAAACAACGGCCTTCGTTGCGTAGAGTAATACACCTAAAACACAACAAAGACCCCGATAAAAATGAAAGTATAATAAATAAAAAATTCATACCACTCGCAACAATCGAATCCGCCTCGGCCCCGAACTCCACCGCCTCAACCCGCGCATCATGCCCACTCCACCTCCTCACCGTCGTCCCCGTCTCCACATCCCACAAAAAAACCTGTTTATCCCCACCTACACTGGCAAACTTGGCATTATCCGCCGTTACCGCGAGGTCCAACACGGAGTAGCCATGCTTCGCGTACCGCTGGATCGGAGTGGTGGTGACGGGTGTTGTGGCGGAGACGGTGGTGGAGGAGGTCGGGAGGGCGCGGCAGAGATGGATGGAGCGGTCAGAAGAGCCCGTTAGCAGGTATGTGCCTGGTGGGCTGGAAAAGCAGATTGCATTTACCGCACCTGTGATGGGGGTTGATGGGTTAGCTCTCCTCTCACATTGGCTGAGAGCTGGGGTATCAGGGGTGAGTTTGGGAAACTTGGGGCCTGGAAGACAGGTAGTGAACATTTATATATACGTACCATTGTGGGTTTTTATTGTGTGGAGGCGGGAGGTTGGGAATTTCCGCGTTGGTGGCATCTGATTAATCGCGACGCTTTTGAAAGGTGGTTGAGTTCATTTACATCTTGAAGGCGGGGATGGAGCTTAGTCTGGGCGAACTGGTTGGAGCTTATTTAATTAATTTATAACAAACCAGACACGGGAAACGGGAAACTAAATTACGAACCCAGTGGTTTTTATTTGATTTGGAGATCTCGAAACTGAATCATACAAAGGGGAAAAAAAGGTGTAGAATTAAAGTTGGATATTTCAAATAATAAAGTAACAAAAAAAAATCGCTACGCATAACAAACGAACTATTTCGGGTCTTGGAGGTAGAAAATACGCTAGGTATCAGTCGAATGTGGGAGAAAAACAGAAAAAGAAACACGAATAAAATGATTAAAGGATAAGGGTTCGAAAAAGAAAACAAACCCCCAAAATGTCGCAAATAAAACCGGGATTTGATAGGTCGATAATTTTTGGGCTCAGACGTGCTAAAGCCTATATTCGAAACGGACAGCCATCCACCTCCATCTACCTACATCGCAACCAGACGGCAAACATCAATATACCCATCCAAGATTAACGCCGGCCATGGCTGCGGACAGCGGAGCCTTGCATCTGCTCGAGTTCCTGTTCGAGTTGTTTGATGCTGTTCCAAGGTTAGCACTAGTACGACGTAGCCATGTTTACTGGGGAAGGATTAAAAAAACATACGCAGCATGAGTGCTTTCCAGATCCTTGTTGAGACGATCTCTCTCGGAGATGAGTCTCTGCTCCCACTGTCTGAACCTCTGTTCTTCGACCTTGACTTGTTCGGTGAAGCGCTTTCTGAGGTTCTCTTCTTCCTCCTTGAACTTGGGGTTGTCGAGCTTTCTGGGACGGGCCTCGCCGAACTTTCTCGTCTCCATTTGCAAGGCGCGATAGGCCTCGTAGTGGGATTCTTCAGTGGTGTGAATGAGATCAAGCATGTGAGTACGAATGAGAATGGAGCGTAATTTTTTGAAATCACAGTGCTCCTCATTCTCAACCTCAGCTACACCCCAAGCATACTGGCGACCCTTAACGATGCGGCCATCACTGGTCTTGACGTCTTTCTCGGAACCAATGACGGAGAATGGCATGGCAGCCATCAGACTACGAGCATGCTGTGCGGCGTGCTCATCATCCTCCTCAACAGGTGGCTGGTAAATTTTGATGCCTTGGGCCTCGATAACAGCGCGGATCTGAAATGTAAAAAGTAATCAGTTTTTGACCGTTCACTCCATTGGCCTATGTAGGATAGATATTCTCTTACGCGTTGCTTGAAGCGGGCAAGGTCAGATGGGCTCAATGTATCGGCTTTGGCAACCACTGGGATCAGATTGACACGCGAGCTCAGACGCTTCATGACTTCGATATCCAGGGGCTTCAGGGTATGACCGGTTGGCCTGATGAAGTACAAGCAAGCGTGGACACGGAGGTCAATCTTATCAACACGACGAGGTTGTTGCTCCTGAAGCATGTAGGATTCGTGCTGGTCATCAAGGAACTCGATGATAGGCATCCACGAGTCGCGGTTGTTCACGTAATCGCCGAATCCGGGGGTATCAATGACCGTCAAGCGAACTAAAATGGGACATAATTAGCTCACATACGCGGTGCAGAGCAGTGCAGAACTGAATTGAATACCTTTGAAGAACTTCTCCTCGAGTTCAGCTTTTGTAATCTCAATCTCTACGGTTTTATCAACCTGCTTGGCATGTCGGCGCTTGTGGTCGGCATAGTTCTTGATTGTGGTCGAGAAAAGCGTGTTAATGAATGTCGTTTTGCCCAATCCGGATTCCCCAGCAACCTATAAAATGTTAACAAGGACGAAATATATATAATAGGAGGGGCTAAGTTGTACCATAATAGTAAAGGCAGCTCCCCGTTTGGCAACGATTTTGTGCCTGTTTTATTGTGTTAGCACTACAAGTTCCCCCCGAAAAATGATATAGCGTTTGTCGAGGCATACCGTTGATTTGGAAGCTATACACAACCAATGTGTCAGATTCTTCATAATATCAATAATTGGATATAGGACACTACTTACATTGGCAATTCCAATGGGAGAAGCCGTCTCAGAAGTTGGAGGAGCCATAACTACTGAGCGTAAAGAGGGTGTTATACTTAAAAAGGAAGTCGAATTACTGGAAGGGGGTGACGATGGACACAGAGCTCCGCACAAGACAACTAGAAACAGAAACACAAGGAGAATCGCGCGGGTTGCAGAGGGTGGCAGCGAGATGAAGAGCGTGAAGTTGTCGTTTCGTTTCTTCTGCCCCTGAAAGCTAATTTTCAAGCGAGCAACCACCCCGGGGTACACTAGGTCGCATACGGCTAGCGTCTCGGATTATCCTGTAGCAGTTTATCCGGGACCTTATCTCTTGAACAGACATTTTTTTGCCCACAATTGCTGGTGGAGTGCATAATGCGCCGATGGTGACTGCGCGAGCTGAGGACGATGAAGACTGATTTCAAGGTATGCGGAAGCTCTATTTGCAGTCTTACTAGCTGTTGCTGACGATAACTAAATTTTCTCCTAAGTTTTCCAACCTTCTGGGGACCGTTTATCGCCAAGGAAACCTCATCTTCACTCCAGACGGCACTTGCTTGCTCTCTCCGGTTGGCAATAGAGTTACAGTTTTTGATCTCGTGCAGTACGGGATCCTCGCGCCCTTCACAGCTAGGTGCGGAGAAAAGACAAAAGAGACTAACTTTGGTAATTCGTAGAAATAAATCATATACCCTTCCTTTCGCCCACCGCACCAACATCTCGCGAATTGCCCTCTCTCCCAAAGGCAACCTCCTCCTTTCCATTGATCAACATGGAAAAGCTATACTAACCAATTTCCTCCGTCGATTAACTATCCATCACTTCTCGTTCAAGTCTACAGTCACCACGCTTGCTTTTTCACCTTCTGGGCGCCATTTTGCTGCTGGAGTGGGGCGGCGAATCCAGGTCTGGAAAACACCTTCTACACCTGGTGCTGATGGTAATGGCGAACTAGAATTCGCACCATTCGTTCTGCATAGGGAGTATGTAGGACATTTCGATGCGGTGCAGAATATACACTGGTCTGGCGATTCGAGATTCTTTCTCAGCGCCTCAAAAGATTTAACCTCAAGGATATGGAGTTTGGATCCGGAGGAAGGGTTTGAACCGACAACTCTTGCGGGACACCGTGAAGCTGTGCTAAATGCTTGGTTTACAGAGGATCAGGAGTCGGTAAGGGATATTCCGGAACCACTCAATTATATCTATTCAAGCCAACGCTGAACTTTTTCCGTTTCTAGATCTACACTGTGAGCAAGGATGGTGCACTCTTTCGATGGCAATATTGTAGCAAGTCCGATGACCCAGAGGAATTGTCAGAAAACTCGGATATGCGCTGGAGGATCAGAAAAAAAAGCTTTTTCATGCAAAGCAATGCAAAGGTGAAATGTGCAGCATACCATGGAGCTTCTAGCCTTCTGGTTGCAGGCTTCTCTAATGGTTTATTTGGGCTCTATGAACTACCAGAGTTTACCCAAATACATAAACTTAGGTATGTTTGTGCTTTGTCTGTACAACTAAAATCAAGTCTAACTATTATTAGCGTCTCACAGAGCAATATTGATTTTGTGACAATGAATAACTCTGGCGAATGGATCGCCTTTGGATCGTCGAAACTTGGGCAGTTGCTTGTGTGGGAATGGCAGTCTGAGTCATATATCCTGAAACAGCAAGGCCATTTGGATTCGATGAATTCACTCGTATATTCTCCAGATGGACAAAAAATAATAACCGCGGCAGATGATGGGAGAATCAAAGTCTGGGATACAAATTCTGGGTTCTGTATTGTCACCTTTACAGAGCATACCAGCGGCGTCACCGCGTGTCAATTCTCGAAAAAAGGAAATGTTTTATTTACCGCATCATTAGATGGCTCAATCAGAGCATGGGATCTCATTCGATATCGAAATTTTAGAACATATACGGCACCCTCAAGATTAGGGTTCTCCTGCTTGGCGGTAGATCCCAGTGGAGAGGTCGTGTGTGCAGGTTCACTGGACTCGTTTGATGTTCACATTTGGTCCGTCCAGACGGGCCAGCTTCTAGACCGACTGGCTGGGCACCAAGGACCGGTGTCTTCTCTATCCTTTTCTGCAGATGGCAGGCATCTGGTGAGCGGTAGCTGGGATCACACAATCCGAATATGGAGCATCTTTGGCCGCACGCAGACCAGCGAGCCTCTGGAACTACAAGCCGACTTGCTTAGCGTAGCTTTCCGACCGGATGGGAAACAAATTGCCGCCTCCAGCCTTGATGGTCAATTGACCTTCTGGTCAGTCGAAGAAGCCGTGCAGGAGGGGGGAATAGATGGTCGACGTGACGTATCAGGAGGTCGTAAAATATCCGACCGTCGAACAGCTGCCAATGCCGCAGGCACCAAGTCATACAACACGATAACTTACTCAGCCGATGGAAGCTGCCTACTCGCCGCGGGTAACAGCAAATACATCTGCCTCTACGACGTCAGCACTGGCTCACTCTGCAAAAAGTTCACCGTCTCCATCAATACCTCTCTTGACGGCACACAAGAATTCCTCAACAGCAGGGATATGACTGAAGCCGGTCCACGCGGCCTCATAGACGAAGCGGGTGAAGCGTCAGATTTGGAAGATCGCATCGACAAGCGTCTCCCCGGCACTCGTCGTGGCGGCGACGCAGGCGCACGCACCACGCGGCCCGAAGTGCGGGTAACTTCCGTCGCTTTCTCGCCAACCGGCCAATCTTTCTGCGCCTCGTCTACGGAAGGCCTGCTTGTCTACAGTCTAGATACAACCTTCGTCTTCGACCCCTTCGACCTCGACCTCTCTATCACACCCGACAGCATCCTCGATACCCTGGCCGAAGCCAAAGCCGCATCCACCACCTCCCCCCTAACAGACTCATCACCGACGACCCCAACTTCCTTCCTAAAACCCCTCATCATGTCCTTCCGCCTCAACGAAGCCCCCTTAATCCGAAAAGTCTACGAATCGATCCCTCCCGCCGACATCCGCCTCATCACCGCCTCCATACCCACTATCTACCTCCCTCGGATGCTCCGTTTTGTCGCCAATTGCGTCGACGAGACACCGCACCTGGAGTTCAATTTGCGCTGGATCGAGGCGTTGCTGAGCATCCATGGCCACTATTTCAAGGATCATAGTGGCCAACTGGCGGCGGAGTTGCGTGCCGTGAATCGTGTTGTTGATAGCATCCGAGATGAGATCAAGCGGCTTGTCGAAGGGAATGGGTATGTGTTGGAGTATTTGCTTTCAAAGCCGGTGTTGAATGGGAGGAGGGTTGAGAAGGGTGGAGGAGACGGTGTGGTTGCTGCGGGCAAGGAAAACGGCGTATGTAGGGATGAAGATATGGATGATGTCGACGATAGTGACGATGGTGGGGAAGGGGGAGAGTGGATTGGTTTGGCTTAATTGAGTATTGTCATTGTAAAATACATGTCTTGACCCATTATCTTTTCTCTAATGGAGAGTGAAATATTGTACTATGCATGCATACGGTACCTGGATGATGTGTACTTGATGCCTCTGAATTTTATTTTCCCTTTGTGGACCCAGAATCAAAGCATGTGGTGGAGTAAAAGGAGCAGTTGGCGAAAATTTAGCATAGACAGCAAAGATAACGAGCAACGCTTCTTGTGGAATTTGATTATGAAATTGCTTTTCTTGAATTCTCTTCAAGATGTGAGACAGTGTATATATGTCGTCTTCATAGTATAATTTTTATGCAACCATCAAACTGTCTTCAAGGAGCAGATGCGCACAATACATCAAAGAACATTAACTGAGGGTTTAATCTTGGTAAGATATATTCCTTTCTGCAGCACGAAGGAATCTTAGGAACTGGAAGTCCAGCCGATTTGAATTAAAGATGGCTTTTGAATGAAGAGCTCTGTCAGCACACAAAGAAAGACTATTAATAGTATATAGCCACTCCATGGATGCGTGGGGGATCCAGAGAATTTGATATCAAACAGAAACAAGGGGTTATATGCCAGCGACTTAAAAAGATTTCAATAGTCGTACACAGGTAGACAAAATATGCAAGAAGCCTGTCCAGTTAAGATGGGGGGAATTAATGAAAGTGGAGAAATCGTGAGAAAAGGTAAGAAGATGCCGTAAATCGCTCCCCTCTTCTATCTCCCTCGATCATGGTCGTCGTCGTCGTCCATACGGGCACGCTTCGATCCGCGCTCCTTGGCACCCTCGGCTTCTTGAATACCGTATCTTTTCTGCGTGCTTCCACCAGTAACTTCAGCAATCATTCCATCGATGCCAAATGGGTCGGAAGTATCTTTCTCGAATTGAACTGGTCCATCTCGAGCCTGTGAAAAAGGTGTATCGTCAGTCACGTGATAGTATTGGCTCAAATGAACGATGTGTGGAATAGATATATAAGTGGACTAAGCGGGCGAGTTGCATATCTTACCTCTGCATCTGCCGCGCCTTTGAAGCCTTGTTTAGCACGGCCTAGGACTTCAAATCGGCTATTCCGCTCTATTCGACTCATCTCCGCACCGGCCGCCTCCTCGTCATCAAAGTCGTCTGCTTGTGCCCGAGGGCGGTAAATACTATTGATGGCATCTTGTGCGGCGAAAAGGGGTTTGTCATATGGCTGATCTTCATTGAATCCACTCTCGAATCCGCTCGTCTGGTTGAAAAGTCGGGAGTCATACATCGTCTCTTTACTCTGTGTTGGCTTTGCAAGGCCAAGTGCGACCTTCTCGGAGATATCACGGTTTTGTTCTCGCGCCATCATCTGGATCCGACGCTCAGTACCCATACGGGATTGACGAAGCTGACGTTCAGCTTCTTGTCGTTGTTGCCGACGCCGACGTTCACGTTCACGGGCAGCATCTTCATCTTCACTGGGCGTGGCAGAACGGGATGAATATGGTGATGGACTTCGGCTGCCGCTAATAGATCGTGAACGTGTTCGCGCTCGAGATTCCTGGCGACTTGTGCCACCCGACCTTGCCTCGCGTGCCTTTTGAGCTAGTTGGCGAAGATGCTCTTCTTTCTGTGCCTTCTCCTTCTCTGCTAACTTCTGTTGCATTTGAGCTCTCTGTTTCACTTCCTCCCGGGCATGACGGTCAGCTGTAAACAGGGCTTCCGCAAACTGGGCAAATTTGTCATTGATAGAAACATCCTGTAAACCACGCCCATCGGCCGCCAATCGTTTATCCAGCGGAACAGTATAGCCTCTAGGGTTCTTCCAATTTGAAACGGGAGGGGGAATCCTCCATGCTTCTTGATCTTCTGCAGTAAGTTTCCGGGGTGGTGAGTGCATGACTGGCGGTGGCGGGGAGGGCGGACCGCGAGGAATCTTCTTATGCTTGAATTTCGGGGGCTCCATGGGGTCAACTTGTCTCTCTACAATCTTCATAATCCTATCATTTTTCTTGCTTGTATCACCCATTTGATTTGCGGGTGTATACCTCACGAACGTGGGTTCGTTCCTTTTCCCGCCCTTGACATTTTTTGGCTTCTGCGCCGCAACAGCCCCAGTCACCAATTTTGCCAACGCAGCTTTTGTTTTCTCCATTTGCTCCGCCACCTCTTCTTGTGAAGGCCGAGCTAGAGATATTTCGCCCATATCTACGCGTTGGCGGAGAGGTATTAGGTCTTTGAAAGAGGCGTGGACAATCCGATTCTCGCCATGGCCCTGTTTTGCAATGGCGTCGTATTTAACCTTCCCTTCCGCGTCAACTTGAACAGCTAAGGCATTTGACGTTGATGAGGTGCCTTTCCGCCCCATATCGAGGGGATATTGAGCCACTGGGATTTCGGGGAACGCGCCGCCATCTGCAAAGTCTTCAGGGTTTCGAGGTCGCCATCCTGAACGCCTGCCATACGGGGGTGGGCCAGCTGTCTATAATAGATGGGCAAAGTAAATGAGCATTTATTCCCTAGTAGTGGCAATGATAGACTGTATATAGCAACGTACTTTTAGAACAACTTGCGATTCGTTGAGAGCACCAGCTCCCACGATTCGCGGGCCTTTGGGTTGGGTATGTGGCGGCAATTCTTCGTCTTCGCCGGTGTATTTCGGTTTCGGCAGGGATTTGAAGAGTCCCTGCGCGATAGATGTCGCCATAGTAAACAATTTAAGCCACAATAGTCTGAACAAGAATGGCTGTAGGTGGGAAGGGTAAGCTCGTTGTCGAGAGCGGGCTCATGGGGCAGTGATGGTTAAAGTTTGAGGTTTGAGATATCCGCCGTAACGCAGTTGGCATGTTTGGGCTACCGGAGATATATGACTAAACTAACCAATCGGCGTCTTCTAATATAATTGGCCAGCTAGCCGCCTTCCCGCGCTTGCTTCACCTTCCAATCTCAAAGCAACCAAGAAGCCACTTTAACAGCTTCAACGACATCTCGTATTATTAAATCTCAAAACGATCAGCTAGCTTGCCCTTGAGTTCTTACGGGAGTCGAAATTGTTCTCACCTCTCCAAATAATCATTAATAGATACTTGCCGCTTACCCACCAATTTGGATGGCCAGGTTTTCTTGTGGTTGAGACACAACATGAACTTCCTTTCAAAGCATTGACATTTTTTTTTCATTGTTATATTTGTTCATTTGTATTTTGATTCAGCAACTGTATACGTAATTCTTGAACTTCAGCTCCTGTTAGCAGAACAAAATTCCACAGAAATCTGAGATAGATTCCCGCACCGCATCTCCCAGCTGGGCCTGAAAACTTCAAGCGGATTGATAAATCTACAGCCCAATTTCATTATGGAGAAAAGACTAAGAAATCTTCCGCTTCCAAAGCCAGCTGACAACTTAGTTTCTCCTCAACGCTCTAGAGATCATGCGAGTACACTCCAAACCAGAACGTCTACGGTCCCACTAACATGGGCAACACCCTTTTCATGTGAAGGCACCCTGCACATCCTGCGAGTGCTCCAGTGGCTAAAGACCTGGGTAACAACCAAGTACTCGCCTTGGCTTGTGAAAAGTATCTTTGAACTGTTGTTGGCGCGGCCAGAATTGGTGTCGGGAGATGCGCAGGAAGAGGAGGAGGAGGAGGAGGAGGAGGAGGAGGACCTATCAATCCGTAAATCTCCACACTACCTGACTCGCAGCATCTTGCACCAGCTGCAACGTCGAAAACTGGACACTCGAGGTGAGGATAAGTGTCAGTCATAAAGGCAAGAAGCAAAGGGGGTGCGAAACACGTATGTGGTAAGGCTTCAAGGAAGCTCTGAAGTCAGGCTGAACGGATTTTTATGTATTTCTAGCCGGATCCCAGAACGCCGTGGAGAAGGTTGCTCAGCATGGCACCACCATGCCGTTGGGCAAGGACAATGGCGCTGGTAATGGCATATTATGGAGAGCCTTTGGACTGTCGTCATGGAAGATTTCACCAGGCAAAGTCTACCGTGTATGGAGGCAGATTAGGGAGGGCATGTACACGTGTAATTACACTCTGTGAAATCAATTTTAGCGGTTGCGGGGAATTGGACCGAAAGAAAAGAAAAAAGAAATTGCCGTGGAATTACCAATCTTCAACGCGAAACTCTGCTTTCATGCTTGCGTCCATTGAGCACTAACTACTAAAGAAGTGTGTACTATAACTAAATCAACTGATAAAAGCAAAGAACGAAGTAAACGTAGAGAAACAAATGGGGGTTGGGTGGGGGGAACTAAAAGAAAAAAAAAATAATCAGGTGCGAAACAGTAATACGTTGCCTGCGCCTTGAATTTTGCATGTTGCATGTTGCATTGTCCGTTGGAACATATTAACCTATGAATGTCAACCTCTCGTAATATGGGAAATAGAAAAATACGAAAAATCAAACCGCTGAGCTAGTGGGGGGCGAGAGGGATGGAGAAATGAGAAAGGAGAACTTTCAATCAGCTTAAAAATATGATTCAGAAACGTCAATGCAAGCTAGATAGAAAAAACACAAGATGAAAATAAAATAAAATCACAGATACTGGGCATGAGACGAGAAGAAGAAGAAGAAGAAGAAGAAGAAGAAGAAGAAGAAGAAAAATGCAATTATCGCCGTCAATAAATCCAGTTCCATCACCTAGCTCCGCCCACCAACCCCTTTTGCCTGCCTTAGGCCTTATGCACAGTCGTTATTACCCTCACACTCTCGCCATTTCAGTCTCGAGAGCAGTGCGATGTAATTGTAAAGTGTCAGGTATGCAGGTGCAGTGTACGGCTGGGGGAATCGATATCGGGAGTTTAATGGGGTCAGTGTAAATGGATATACCGCGTTTGATCGTTCGTTTTTTCGTGAGTGTAGATATGCTAAGTCATTGAGGTGCAGGGTAATTGATGATTTTTCGTCTCTCGAACTTTATGGGGATGATGATTTCGTGGTGGTTATTTGGGTTAGGTGTATATGTTTGCTATGATTTTCCCCTAAGTTGTCTTGTGTTTCTGAGGAGGCTGCTCAAAGCGAATTATGATGTTTTTGTTTTAGACGGAAAGTAGGATGGTGGAAGTTATTCGACGGAATATCCACAAGGAGGGCGTCAGTGACCCCTGGGAAATGGATATGTTAGAATTGGCACAACAGAAGATCAGGAGACGGATAGGGACTTTTAACAAAGAGATACCAAGGTGTATCGATGATAAAAATGAATAAATAAATAAATAAACCTACCCAGAACCATCATCGAGCATACCAACCTGAAGGGGGAAAAATTCCCGGGAAAAAAAAAAAAAAAAAAAAAAAAAAAAAAAAAAAAAAAAAGCCATAAACATAAATCCCGATGATCCTTCCTCCCACAGCTCCACCCAACCTATTAAGCCCTAATTTTAGCATGGACCCGAAAATATGGATATCCAGACTTGGACCTGTGCCACTGGCCATGCAACTTATTTTGAATATCCGTGACGGTGCGGAGAGTCCAGGACCCATCCAGGTTGTGCACCCACAAAACCTGTCCAGGGGGCGGGTTACACGGGACCAGTTGGCGGGGGACATTGGCACCATTGACCTGTGCAGCGGCCACGTTCTGAGCATGGAGCTGCTGGGGGTTAGGGGCAAACAACTGCTGGAGCTGCGGTTGCTGAACAGCAACGGGGGGGGCAGGGGCGGCAGGGGCTGCCCATCCAAACCAGTTTGGAACTTGTGGCTGGGCTTCGGCAATTGGCTGGGCACCGATTCGTCCATGCTGGTTGGGGTGGAGATGCGTTAGCTGTCGTGTATTTGCTTATAGTTGGGGGCGGGGAAGCAAACGCGAGAGAGATGTAGAGGGTTAGGAAAGGAACAGGGGCAAAGAAAGCAAGAGAAATGCGGGAGATCCTGATGAACACAAATGGGAAATAAGGCACTGCATACTAGGAATAAACAAACAAATCAACAGTAATAAGAATAGTAGTGATTGGAGTAGGAAGTATAGTAGTCATAGTCAGAAACAGCAGGAGGAGAATGAAAAAGGGAGAACAACAGCGACCATGACAGCCTGGTTCGGTGCGTTATTCACGGGCGCGGGGGCTGGAGCTGGAGCTGGAGCTGGGGCTGGGGCTGGGGCTGGAGCTGGAGCTGGAGCTGGAGCGGCAGGCGGCACTGGGGCCGGGTTATGGTTTTCAATGACATGGCCGGGAAAGGGATGGGCAGCCTGCAGCGCAGCATGTTGTGGATGGGCGGGATTCTGCATGGGAATAAACTGGAAAACAGCGGGTTGGTGATGCTGCTGTTGCTGCTGTTGCTGCTGATGATGATGCTGATGATGCCCGGACTGGATGGGAGCCAAGAAGAACGCCATGGCGACGGGGTAGAGAGGACAGACAGTGTTTTGGATGGAGATGAGAGGTAGTAGGTAGTGATGAAAGAAAGAGGTGATGGTGAGGAAGAGGAAAGGTGGAGATGGGAAGAAAGGAAGACAATGAGATAGTAGCGGAGGAGGGGAGGAAAGGAGAAAAGCCAGGCAGGATAGTTCGAGTGAGGAGTGAGGAGATGAACCGAGTGAAGAGGAAAAGTGAAGTGTGACGAGCAGGCAGACAGACAGCCAGACGGTTGGGCCGGTGACAGAACGCCAGATGAGAAGCAAGTGAACGACGAAATGGAACAGGAAGAAAACAGAAAAGGAGAATCGGGCGGGAGAAGGCAGCGAGGAGTCAGGCAGCAAAAGCACACCGCAAGAGCAGCAGGAAAAAATACATAGTTAAACATATATATATATGCGTGTGTGTATATCCATTTATAATATACAACCCCGCACAGAGCAACACCAGGGCATGAAGAATCATATGCATATTACAAGTATACCGATCGAGAGACTTACCACGACTGGATCAGCCAGCACGAACTGGTCGCCCGGATTCACCATGCAGAACGTCACATCCTTCTCCTGCTCCTTCTCCTTCTCCTTCTCCTCCTCCTTGTCCTTCTTGGGCGCATCCTCGATCACATATGCCTTGTAAGGCGTGCCCCACCACATACACATCCTAAAACCACTGTGGTGCTGAAGGCGTACGGGAAGAAACGGCCGGTGTGTCCCTTTTTTTTATTAAGCAGTAGAACGTCTGCGGGAATACAGGCAGTGGGCAGCGGGGGGAATAGGGAGCAAATGGAAAGGGAAGAGGGCGAGGGGGCGAAGAGGGAAAAAAAGGCTTGATTGAGGAGAGGAGGGATAAGAGGAGAGGAAAAATAGGGAGGTTGTTGTTAGAGAGAAGTCGAGAGTGAAAAACTAGATGACGTTCAGTTATCATTCACTGCCCAACCTGCGAGCGGCTTAGGATGTACCTAGACTGTCCAGCAGATGGATAGGGTTTGTTGACTGGCCGGCGGAGACGGGGATAGTGAGGCGGAATGGGTCGATGCTGGCGTGCAACACTATTAGGCGGCAGGTCTATATTGTATAAATATATTATATATATATAAAATATATATATACAAATATAAATACCTATATACAGTGCAGAAATGAAAACCTGGGTATCTCCATTCTGCTGCTTCCTGCTTGCAATTATTGCCATTATGTTTGAAAACATTCATGCTCTTTTTTTGTTTCTATCTTAATGAGCTCTGGCAACTGGTATACTAATCCGTTATCAGCCTGGGGGGGGCCGAGAAAGAGACAAGGAAGGCCTGGGTGGAAGTCATGGGCCGCAGCCGAATGTGTTATTACATTATCGCCACCTCTCAGACCACAACATGATACGGCGGTATCACCAAAGAAGTCCGGGTAAACAGGCATCTTAAAGAACGAAAAGGCGGTATGATCAGAAGATCTGGGGCTGTTGGTCATTTCTATCGCTGCCGTGGTCGTTGTTGTTGCCCTGTGGAACCTATCAGGATGAGCTTTATACCAACCCAACAACAAAAGGCAAACAGAGCCCTGGAGCAACCAGCCGCGGTGGGAAGGCATTGGATGGCGCGAAGGTTTAAAAAATGGAAGTGTGGTTGCATCGCGTTCTATTATTTACCCTGTTTCTTTTTCTTTTTCTTTTCTTTTCTTTTTTTTTTTCTCCTTAGTTTTGATGGAAGGGCTCTCTTACCGCCTCGAGTGGTGGGGATTGAGAGAATATGAAAGTTGAAACGGGAAAAAACGATGAAAACCAGCCAACAAAGACGGGGAGCATCATCCTTGCAGTTGGCTTGGTAGCTAGAGACGAATGAGAAAACCTTGACGAGGCGATGCGGTGGAACGTGATAGGAATCTTTTTATTTTTATTTTTTTCCTCCCCCCGCCTCGCCCCTCTCTCTTTTATTCCAACTTGTGTGCGTTTTGTTCTGGAACAACAATGAAACTGTCAAATATGCGCGTAAACCCGAAGTCAAGTAGAGGGCAAATAAATATGAGGTTCCTTTGTTTGTCAACAGGGTATAAGAGACCAAGTGAGGCATCAGGCATCAACAATCGTAACAATATAACCAAAAAAATAAAACTTGATCAAGCCTTTTGCTCCGACTCCCGCTCTGGCAATACCGCGCTGGAGGGCGAATAAGAAGAGAAGCTCAAATAACTCAAATTTGTTAATCCCGACGTTAAATGTCGGCGTCGTGTGAGCAATTAAGACACAATTGCAGACAAAGAAAATCTGTTAGTTATTGCGTCTGGTAGTGTCTTGGCGGGATGGGAGAGCGGGAGATGGCTGGAAATCCTTCTCAATTCGTTCCCTGCCAGGGGCAAAATAAATGATAAATGTTGTTTTGTTTTTTTTAGAGAGTGTGTTAATAAACGGACTGAGCCCCACAAAAATCATTCCTGTTTTGCTGGTGAATATCCAAGAAAATTAGAAATAAGCCAAAAGGAAAATGCGGAAAGCAGCAGGATCCTCTCATCGTTGACGGTGTCGCAAAGTGCTCACCTTCCGAGAAGTATATATCCTCTGCTGTACATATTCTGTACACGACACCCAGATGTCTGCTAAAAGGCCGGATGCAGTTAGCCTTGGCTTCAAAATTTGGCCGGAAAAGAAATAGGCAAAGGACAGCAGAGAAAAAGGAAAAGAAAGAGCTGGCACGCGAAACAAGTCGAGAGATCTTTGGTGAACCAACCAAGAGAAGCTCTGTTCTGTATTATGGTAATCAGAGCAAGTGGGACTTCATCGGGCAAGTTATTCCTTCAGAGTCCCAAGCTTCAACCAGATGCTCCCTGCCAGCGAACCGATACCGCACCCGCAGCAGTTTTGGACGGAATGGGAATGGATCATAGAACCCGGGTATATGTGACTGCAATGGCTGATATATTAGTATTTGGTGTTTGTTATGTCTGCCTAGTTAAATGGGGGGGGAACCAAGGCGGATAAGTTTGCTGGGGAGTTAGAGACCTTATTGACTCGGCGCGCTAGAACCAACTGTCCCTGATCAACTAGTGCCGCGACCGGAATCGTGACATCTATCATGCCTTCTTCATAGCATTCGTCAACTGCAGTGGTCCAGTTTTGTTGCTTCTTATTCTTCAAGGTCGAGGTTGGCGGACATCCATATTCAGCGTGAACAACCACCAACCCGTCTCGTTCAGCTTCCCGATCCTGCCTTCGCAAGACCTGATCCCTCATCATTGAAACTGCCAGCACGCTTTCTGCTTTCCGCTTCGCAACCAGTTTTGTAAGTCTCTTTTGCATCTTTGCGATTTCCTGCTTTTCCCTCCGCCGAGCCCTGGGACGCAGGTATCCAAATTCAACCGCTCCATAGACCGCGGCCGGCATTATGACCGCCAAGGTACACAGATCACCGGTGATTTTGTCAACGGGACATAAAGCTATGGGTATTTTGAAGGTTTGCCCCAATCTACTCCATGAGACACTGCAACCAAGCCCCATGCCGCCAATTGTAGACACTGTCAATCCCATGCGGGTGAATTCGCCAACTCTCCGTGAGCCAGACAGGGACCAGCCCATGCTGAGGTCACTCTCAATCACCACGCGAAGCCCTAGCCGTATGGCACCGCTGCCACTCCGACTTTTGCTGGGATAATAGCCCTCGCTACTCCACTCGGAACGTAATGGCTCCGCCGGCTTCCGTGCAAAAATCGTCCGTCCATATTGCATGGTTAGGTTAACGCCCGCTGGCGATGAACCAAGGTTGAAACCCCAGGTCTCATTGGGCTTCGGCAGCTGCTGAGGCTGCTTGGGGTGGTTATAGTTATGGTCCGGAAAAAGCATATCCCTATCACCTTCATCCGTCTCGTGATCATCGTCATGTGGGTCTGCAGGTAGCAGTATTGTCGGCAAGCTCGTGTATCCGATCGAAATGCCACTCATCGAATATAGTCTCAGAAATCCACCGTATTGGTCGCGTTTGCCAGCATCCATGAACATACCCATAAGGAATTCTGGCCATGAAAGCGATCCTGATGACCAGTCACAGGTAACTACACCTCCTTCGCCTACCATACGTGATATTGTTAGGCCAAGATCGGGAGGGCATAGAAACGGGGAAGACGAGCACGTAGATTTCACGGTGAGTGAAAATGGTCTTGTTCCTTCTATCGGAGTTATAAGTTTGCTGATGCTTGCTTGAGCAAGAGGCTGGGGCAGAAGAGGAGTATTGATGGTCACCACTGCGTTACCGAGAAACGATAATAGCGGCCCTTTGAGGATACCTCGTCTGGAAGGGTCATTGCTGATGACGTGTGTAAATGTAGCTCCGAAATTAACGTTCGCATTACGAATCGTTAGAGGTATTCGCATCTTCGAATGTAAGTGTCCGTCGTTTTCAAAAACTAGACATTGAAATAACATAAGCGAACACCTACTTGTCCGTCAAATTTTTCTCCTGTCTCCGGGTTTAAAAGTTTGACGGTCTGAACCGTCTTTCCAAAACGACCGTTTACTGAAGCCTGTAGTTGCAACTTAGTAGGCATTTGATTTGCAGATAATCCATCACCCGTTGGTGGTTCATCTCTATCTTCATTTTCCTCTCCATTCGCCGCCGATTTTGAGGAGTAAAACCAAGACAGGTCAGGAAGTGGTATGGGAAGCGCATATCCAAGTAAAAACGCTGATGGCCTCAGGTTGGGTACACGTATCGAGACATCTCCGTCCGGTGTAGTCTCGAACATAGATGTCGCATCCACTGAAAGATGAATCACTCCCTTGGTCATGTCAGTATGTCAAGAACAGAAAAGGACTCGGGGACAGTGGTGTTGTCAGGTCGGATATTTCCAGAGAAGAATAAACGCATGCTCCCGAAAAAGTTCTCTCATGCTTTCTGAAGGGGCTCATTCAACCTACACTAGCATCCACCAGGTCATTCAAAATAGCCCTCTCCCGACGCTTCATGGCCTCCAGAAACCAGCGACGGAATTCAGCTTCATCCATCGCCTTCACCCCGATTTGCTGGCTTTCAGCGTATCCATTTCTACCCATCAGCCCTCCCTCCGCCCAAGTGTGCCGCACTCCGTCTTCACCCAACATGTCATACACAACTCGCTTCTTGGGATCTAACAGGGTCTCATACGCGTCACGTATCTTGTTATAGTGCGCCGTAGCTGCTTCTCTTAGCGCTTCGGGTTGTTTGTCCGGGTGGAAGCTGAGCGTCAACGTTTTGTAGGCCGAGCGTATTTGCGCTTCCGTCGGCGGAGGGTCTCGAGCTAATGCGAGCAAGCTGTAATAGTCAATGGTCCCCGGGTAATCCTTTAATCGGTCATAATCATTCTCTGATCCATCGGAGCAATGGCCGCCCCCGTTTTCTTCGTCGGCTTTCGGCATGTTCGCCCCGTTGATGGCAGAGACATTTGAGCCATTGTGTGCGTTCTGTCCGTCAGGCTTGTCAGAGCGGCTTGTCTGTGGCATTGTCCACATTTATCCCATCTAATCGGATTTACAGGGCGGGGAAGGTTATGGTTTGCTCCAGCGCATTGCTTGGATGGAGGGTGATTATTTATCGGGACGTGGTCGGCCCGGGCAATCTACGAAGCTGCAAGATTTGGCTTTTCTCAAATAAACTTCACGGCCACAACTACACACAAAAGTACCATTCAGGCCTTTTTTGATATTGAATAAAGAGTCGCAACTGCATGCTAGCTGTTATAGAAACCTATGTTCTATACATAGCTAAAAACCCCTAGGGATGTCAGCGACTGGATCTATTATGGCAATACACTACAAAGAAAATAGATAGATATTCATTCACAGCCTTCACACAGAGCAAGTCCTCGCGACAAGCATTAAGCATTATATATGTCATTTTTGTCGCAGCTATAGTGGGTGTTGATGATGGATCTTATTGTCTCGTTAACTTCCGCCCCATATCATGATCGAGGAGGCGTTCTGGCAATTTCTTTTTCTTTGCTCTTGTTTTGTTTCGATATGCTGTTTACAAGAGAAAGCTTGCGCAATTTCCTTTGCTCCAAGTATAAGAGGAGCAGAAAAAAAAAGAAAGAAAAATCATAGATGTGGCCAGTTGCATGTAATAACTGAAGCCAAACGCTTGCTCTATAATCCAAGTAAAGTATAAATAGTTAAAAGTTTCTATAATCCAGACAAAAGGAAGGGGGAAAAATGTTATGGTCGGGAAAATGGAGGGTAGCTGAACCATCGACAAACTGGGATTGAGAATTGGAAAATATACAACAAATGAAGTATTAACAGAATTGTACAGGGTAACCATTGCGTATGGACTATGACTCAGGGTTTGGAAAACTGAAATTTATAACAGTGCAATGCACGAGGAGGGTTTAGGTGCGTCAAAACGTGTATTGAAACTGGGGGGAAGATGTTAGGGGGGGAGGGAGGCCTTTAAAGATGCTTAATGTTGGACCATTACCAATCGAAAAATATAGGTGAGGGATAAAGATGATAAACGACAACTTCCAAGTTCAAAGACATGCACGCTTCGTGGAAAAAAGTAGGCGGTAAGGAGAAAAGGTATCAGCCTTTCAGAAGAAGGGATATGGGGGATAGTTCAATCATGAAAGGAACCATGCGCCAAATTTCATTGCCTCAACATAAGGCAGGCCTACTCTTCACATGGAATCCACAGCACCTCACCCCTCTCGACAGATATATCATGGAGTCCGAGCGCATGGAAATAGGTCTCTCGGGGGAGGCAATAGACCAAATCCCCTCTCCCGGTTGCAGTATAAGGGTTGCTTTTGCCCTGTATTGGTGGTGACGGCGTACTGGAACCAACACCGTCATTGGCAGGCATCAGCCTATCGATCACAATGAGGTCAAGCGGCCGCCCCTGAACGGAGAAACCACGCTTCCCGCCCGACCGGTCCTGTGTACGAATTGCATCAGTGATCTGCTCCAGGCGCCATTCAATGACTCGCAGCTGCTCTCGCGAACCATGCCAGAACCGCGAAACTTCAGAAATCACCCTTAAGCCGCCGTGTATGAGGGCTGAGTAGTATGACATATCTCGAATGGAGCCACAGGCGCAGAGGACATCTGTGGCTGATAATATGGCATTGCCTGTCAGGGGTGTGGAGAATGTTATCTGGGGAGGTTGTGGATTACTTGGCAGAATTCCACCCTCCTCGTGTGCATTCAGATGTTTGCTAAGATCATACGCAATGCGGAGGACCTCGACGGAGTGGCTGTAGGAACGGCGGACGTTTCGCTCGACTATATGCTCAGGTAGGTCTGAGTGGCGGACGTATCGGTTTAGTCTCATCATTGTGGCATGGTAGAGAATATGCACGCTTGCGAAGACATCTACCTTTCCGGCTTGGATGTTCAGTTCCATATTTTCAACGCTATATGAAAAATACCGTGGAAGACTTGCGAGCCATTTATCGGTGCGTTGCACTGTTGAAGAGTAGAATTCCTCGAAACGCGCAGCGTAATTTGATGGCGAGATGTAAGTGGCGCGGTAGATATGCTCAAGCACATCCCCCCAAATAGCAGATACTTCGACTAAGAAAGCCATTGGGTCAAGTGCATTCCTCTCTTCCGGTAACGAGGTGTCTGCCGGGATAATGCCGTTTTCAAAATAGGGCATATTAGCCCATTTTTGATTCTCGTACCAGTCTGCTCTTAGCGGCAACCGCAGAAAGATATCTTGCGGCTTGAGCACTGTTGGAGAATGGACCGGGGGGCCGGCATGTCTCTGTGCAAGAAAAATGACCAGTTAGCTAAGGGAGAGAAAATATCGAGCATAATTGGAGCGAAAACTAACGTCCATAAGGAAAGCCGCCCAAAAAGTCCTCCTCTGGCATTCAAGCATAGTTTCTGCTTGAAAAAACTCATCCCGCTCTGGCGGGTTCCGTGGCGCGGGACTACCATGTTCAACATTGAGTTTCAGGCCGCATATAGTGCGCATGGCAGAGCCGGTAAAGTCGGACGCTGTGGCCGACGCGCCGATCGTGAAATGCCACATTCCAAGGATAATCCGAGTTTGAGCTAGGTGTAAGGTTGGATTGTTTTGACTTTTCTCCACCGCGTGCCTTGCGATTCTCGCAAACCTCATTGCGTCTGCTCTTTGCTCCTTTGTATTGCCGAAAATAGCCCCCATAGCAAGCATAGAATACAAGAGCATTTTATCATCAAGGGATTTATTGGGACAATACTTAAGCCATCTCAGGAATGGCTCGCGAGGGAATATACAGTAGGTTGCACCGTTAACATAATGGAAGTACATATTGAGATAGCGCATGGTTGATTCCGGGTGGGTATGGTAGGGATCTGTTTCCCATTCCGACAACGTTGGATCGTGGAGGTCCATCGCAGCCATTTCTGATAAAATATCATTCATGGGGTATGGATCAGGAGTTGTCACCATATCTTTGGCCTGTTTAGAGTAGTCATCTCCGTCGAGGCCAATGACATTGTCAATGGCGTTCGTTGAGGCTCGCCTTCTCCTTTTCAGCGGCCTGTTGGGTTTCGGGCTTAATCCGCCAACCTCGTTCATCAGTGCGCCTGGTTCACAAGATACTGCAGACGACGACATGGTCCGGACTGGACTCCCAGTGGGAATACAGGAAGTTGGGTGCCTACTCGGCGAGGAGCTAGTCCGTTGATCAAGTGATATTGCTGGAGTGTGATGGCCTGTAGAGCATTGCGAGCTCATTGCAATTTGGTTTCCCCGAGGTCTATCAAAGCAAAGATGCGTTTTGTTAGGTAACATGAACGGTGCGAAGGGGGAAAAACGGACACTAAAACTCACGAATTTTCAAATCTACATTCTCTTCCCGACTTCTGGCACTGATCACACTTGGGGATATTAGGAATACACTTGATTTTCTTGTCTCTGCAGGTAAAACACGCCTGTGCCAGCCGTTTTCTTGGCTTTCCAGCTTTTGTGACTCCCCAATTGGCATTAACAGGCTCACCATCTATTACCTTTGGGCAATGTGTACCATCAGAGTAGATGTAACAAATACCCTCACCCTCAATAAACCGCTCGTCTACCACATGAGCCAGGCGCGGTTGATTTGGCCTAGGGGGTGAGCCTGAGCTGAAAGTAAGCTCACAGGATAACGAAGACTGCCCTGATGCTGGAGAAATTTCAGAATTAGATGGGTCGCATGGATATGGAAGATGGCTATGGTGGTGATGGGCTAGCGGAGTCTCAGAGCTGCTCCTATTGTTTTCGGTAAACAGATGATGCCGCAAGCCTGCTGCGTCCAATCCGACTTGCGAAATTGGAGGTAGCTGGTGGCGAGAATAAGATAGATTCTGTCCTTGTCCGTGGGAAAAGTCGACCGGCCCGAATGTAGACGGCCTTCTTTGACGTGAGGTGGTCTCATGGCTTGGATGACCGCTTGGCTGAATGCGCTCATCGTGGGTCTCAACAATTGTGGATTCGTGTGGTCTGCTGCTGTTAGGCGCCGAATTTCCGCGACCTGGGAAAGGATGGTGTGGATTTCCCAGATAGGAATACGACGCTGGTGTAAGAAGTTGGCTGACTGATGGCAGTTGATCCTGCGCTGGATATCGACTTTTATATTGGGTTGGGTTACGACCCGCCATAGAAACAGGGGACTCCATATGCTCCAACGGAGCCGGTGAGTCGTCGGATACAAATTCCCAAGACGAAGTCTTGCGAGGCGGAGGAAGCTGGTAATTGATTAACCTCTTCGATGGCGTTGAGATATCTTGCGATTCTTGCGATGTGGTGCTGTCCTCAGGTGAAGGTAAGGTGCGCCCGAACGGCCCCACGGGAAACCCAGACATAACTCCAGGCTTTTCAATCTAGACTTGTATGCGAATATTTGGGTACTATATCCGGGATATCGGTAGAAGAGGTTTTTGAACTCTATACTGCAGCCGACTGCTTGCAGTTCGTTTAGAGGCTAGTCGCTGGTTCTCATCGAGCCAGAATGGAGAGAAAGAGATCTAGTTCACACGACCAGCCACGGTGCTGTATACCTGGAGGCAAATCAAAAACAGAAAACTCCAGTGGTTTCTCCTGGACCCTGACAAGCCCCTTCCTATATTCCGGTTATTCTGAGGCCACAACTTTGAAGAGGTAGAAATAGACATCGGAGGCCTCTGCCAATATCGAAGAATATGTAAGCCTGTCCACTGCGAAGCGTGCGCTCCTCAAACAAATTCTAGGGACGGAACAAATGACGGCACACGATCGGCTTTAAGCCATGATACTGGACAGGGTCATGCAGATCACAACCTGATGATGGTGATGTTGAAGATGAAGGGGGGGAAATAAAAATGGTGCTCCAGTAATCCAGTAAACCATGGCTATTTTGAATGTGTCGGCAGATGAAAATAATGTTGCAGCTCACGCAGACCAGGATAAGTGACTTCGCCCTTGCTCCCATTCGCGGGACATTTCAACAAGCGAACTTCGACCCAGTCATTAGCACCCAGAGCACTGGCCTCCAGTAAGCCTGGGGTGCCGGAGTTAGAGTTCAGCCAGGGATTTCGTTGAGCTGGGCGCCGGCACTTTTCAGATATGGCCCCTCAGCTCGACCAATTAGTGACAGTGGGGAAGCATAATCAGAGGGTATCCACTGGCCAAGTGATAATCAAGAGGCGTGCAGGATGATGGATGAGCGCTTGAAGCGGCCGCCGTAGTGTTGAGAACTAATGATTAGCGTCAAGAACCAGCTTCAAGCAAGCGTCGCTCATTTTCTGGTCACAGCTTCCAAGGTGCGCGAACCTCGGGAGAATTTTCGTTCTTTTTTTGGATGACAGAATGCAAGGAGCCGACAGAAGATTGGAGGGGCCTCAAGTTCTGGCCTAATGGCGCTATGATTCCCAATGCGAGCTATCCGGCAGTTAAGCCAGACCATGATTGCTCATCCATACAGGCTCCCCAGTGGGGTGTCAGACTTCAGGGGCTTGAGAACCCTAAATCAGAATGTGGCAAGCGAGAGACAAATTTTGGCTGGGATATCAATTTAGCGTTATCGAAAGGGATTTGTTCACCGGCAGACCCAAACAGAGAGAAATTGAAGGAGGGACCTGATGCCGATGTATGGTCCAGACATGACGGAAAACGCCAATGAAGCTTTCACTAACGGCTCAATCTGCCTGTGGCCCAGTGCAAAATCGAGGGAATTGGAGGCTTGAGACACGCCGGCCATGTGGTTGCTGACCCTTCAAGGCGCAGCTCTGCCTTGTGGCGAATGGTATAGTGAAGTCTCTCCATCAAGGATGACTCAGTTATGAATAGGGAAATGTAACTAGAGAGTAGCCGAACATAAGGGTAGGCTAGTGAGGTGAAGGCTGTCATAATATAGTCTCAGACTGCATATGGCCTTAGAAAAAATATGAAGAACAACAACAACAACATCTGCCTTGTGGCCGCAAACTGACTGTCGGTGTCACAGCGCAAGAGGACCCGCAGGAAGGATCAGCTTTTTCGCCGACCAGCAAGATCAAGCACAGGCCTTTGTTCCCTGGAATGGATAGTCTAACCAGGTGCCCAGAAAGGAACCAGACGCACTACTTCATGCCTGCTGTGAAAGCCATACGGAGTATACTTACATTAGAGGAGGGTTATGGAGGAGCTATTCTCGTCACAGCGTCTTTGAGGCCACCTCCAGTTATATTCCGCAATTATCACCTCCTCCATGTATGGGCTTTGCTTCAAGTTCTCTACTGCTTTACGCCATAACCTGATGTCAGAATCATGGAGTGCGGGTAAATTTGCCTCTCCCGTTTCAAACGAATATCGCCCAGGTAATCAAATATCATTCCGAGGGCAGCTCAAAGAACGGCCTGCAGACCTGGAGCCGGTTCTGTACATGTACATTTAGGGCCTGTTCGGTGACCCCGTCCAGGGCTGTATAAGTCTGTACAGTGCCAGCTATACAGACTTATACAGCTCTATACACACTAATCTGGCTGAAAAAGGCCTGCTGTTCAGTAGATTTTGCATATAACCCTTTCTAACTCATCAAGACTGTCAAGCTGGTTTCAAAATCCACTTTATAAAGTTCAATGATGTAATTAGTTGAAAAAGTGGTGAATTTAAACTTAATCAAGTTAAATCTGTACTGTATACACTGAAACAAGTTGTGATTTGTGCTGATTCAATCCAGCACTGGCTGGCTTGAAACCTGCAAATATCATCAAAAATCAAGAATCATAATGAGCAACAGTGACAATGTAATTCAGAAGACAATACAACAGTATCTATATTGTAAACAATAATTAATCAAATTTGCTGCTGTAAAAATGATTCATCAGAACATCTTAAACTGTCTCATTTAACATACAATTTATATATTCTGATTCATTTCATAAATTTCAATTTATCATTCAATTGTTGCATTCTACCTCTCACTCACTGTGTATTAAGAATATGACACAGATGAGTGTCGGTACATTCATTGCATTGATTGATTGATTGAAAAATAATATTGATATTTATGAATCTGAAACAATACATATCATAAAGATTGAGCAGAAGATTTTCATATTTTTATATATTATAATATAAAAAATGAGTTATTGAAACACTGTAGATGTAATGTGACGGCGCCGAGGCGATTGCTACTCGGCAGCGGCACAGAGGAGGATGGTATATAATGGGAAGCCTTATGGGTGGGCTTGATTATCTCGCTTGAACCGCGAACTCGTAGAATACTATACAAATACTGAACTACCAGAGGTACTCGGCACACTATGAATATTGTATGAGGACAGTGGTAACTCTGGTATCTTATTGTCAAAAGATAAAAGACGAATCGCTGGCTCCTGGAATAGAGAGCCAGCATCTAGCTATTCTATATAGACAACGGGCAGCCATCCTCCCCTCACTCTATAAGCGAGGGTAGCCGAAGCAACTCCGCAGTGGCGCTGCATTGATCTGCCAGAAGGAATCCAGACCCCGTATAGAAACAGGATTCTCATATCTCATCAATCGGATCCTCTTCTATTGCATCCGAATGATGTCATAGGGTGGTTGGAAACCGGTTCGGACACCTGCGTGATGTCATGGGATAGATGGGATTATCCGAGGGGAAACGATGGGCCGTGTGGAGCCGTCACGGGGCCTTGGCACAACCAAGGGTGTGACAGTAGAGATGTTTCATCATTCATTAAACACAATATTCAAATAAATATAAATGATAGAATACTCATTAAATTGATGTTATATTAATAACTTGTATAAAGTTTTTTATAAAGTTTTGAAATCATTTTATATATTTTATAAACATTATATCAAAATGTCTGAATTCTCAATGAAATATAGCAAGAAAGTTTTTTATTCAAATTCATAATATTGATCTTTTTTTAAAAAATATGTTGAAGTTTTAAATGAAACTCATTTATCTATTTTTATTTTTTTAAATTAATAATTTATATGATAAAATTAAAAAAAATAAATATTTCAAAATGTTTTCATTGTTTGTGATTATAACATGAACTTGATATATATTTACTTTGAAATGAAAAAATCTTCTCATAATAATAGAGTTCTTTCATAAATGCAGAAAAGAGATCAATTTTAAATTATATTATTTAATTATTATTTTTTAACAAATACTGACTATTCACAGAAATTCAGTTTGATGTTGATTTTATATTTAAAAATTTGATATCAGTACATGTCCTGTCCACTGCGAGGAATGCCAACCTGTCAGGGGCCCCTGGTCTGGGGTACGGGTAACGAAGCAAAAGTCCCGATTAAACACGTTCGGTAATGGCGGTTGTATGCACAGCTTATTTTAGTTGGAAGTAGTCGGCAGGCTCAGCGCTAACTTTCCAAGTTTGTGTTCAAAGAACTATAATTAAAATATTATGATTATTACAGCGTATAAAATATCCCCGCACTCCCCTTTGCAAATGTCAAATCCAAGCCGCAGTTCCTATCGAGAAATATTGGGAAACAAATAGAGAGCGGACGTGGACTCGGCGGTCGGGCAGGGCTTTAACTTCCCTTAATACAAGTCCCAGGAACAATACCATCTTGCTCTTCTGTGGGAAGGGGAGAAATCATTCATTTCCTTCCCTGGCTGTTGGGCGCCCAAATTGCTGGCAAGGATCGAGGAACCGAACCGTGCTCAGCCGTCCTCGCGTTACGAGGAAGATGCCAATTTATCAATATTGCTCCCGCTGCTCCCCGCCTCTGACTGGCATGAACTCGGTTGTGAATGGATGGTCTAGGGAACTAAGTGGGGACGCCTGGGTCTGAGCGACTTTTCAAAAGGTTTGGAGCAGTGTTTTAACCAGACAGACAACTGCTTGGTGAGCTGGCGTGGAACGGATATTGGTAGAGAAGTGAGCATGTACGTCTCCTGGGCATATCGACTAGTGGG